TCCTAGTGTATTCCTGGTGCTCTTCATTAGGGGAGAGACTCAGAAAACTCTCAAAGACAAGGAAGATGCTCAGAGGCTTGAAAAAGACACTCAAAGCCCTGGCAGGTTTGGGTCAGTGGTTAGATAATTGGCCTGCAGACCAATGAGTCTCAGGTTCGGATTCAATTCTGGTCAAGGGCACATATCTTGGTTGCGGTTCGTCCCAGGCTGGTCGTGCAAGACGCAACCAGTCAGTCTGTCACATCTATGTTTCTCTCTCTCCCTCCCTCCCACTCTATCTGAAGATAAATAGAAAAATATCTTTGGGTGAGGGTTTTAAAAAAGAAAGAGAAACACTCAAAGACACCAAAGAGAGAGACTTGGAAAGACTTTCAGAGATACATGGATATAGAATTGAAATGGGATGTTCATCAAGGAAATATGGTCACAGCCCTGGTCGGTTTTGCTCAGCGGTTAGAGCATCGGCCTGTGGTCCAGAGAGACCAGGGTTCGGTTCCCGCTAAGGGCACGTACCTCGGTTGCAGTTTGTCCCGGCCCTGGTTGGGTTGTGTGGGTGGTGGCCACTCGATGTGTCCCTTTCATGTTGACTTTTCTTTCTCTCTCTCTTCCTCTCTCTCCCTCCCACTCTATCTCAACAGAGAATGGAGAGATGTCCTCAGGTGAAGATAAAAAATAAATAAATAAATAAATAAATAAATAAATAAATAAATACAGATGGAAAGATATATTGGGACATTAGAGCAGAGGGAAATATGCAGAAAGAGGGAGAGAATCTCTCAGATCTGGGAGACACCCAGAGAGAAGAGAATGGGGCAGAAAGAAAAGCTCAGAGTCAAGGAGAGAATTTTGCTCATTTATTCCTCATGTTGAGGTCTCCTGCATTCCTGGCCCAAGATGGGTGAAGCTGGGGACCCAGAGGTGAGTCCTCAGTCTGGTTGGGGAGAGAGGTACAAACATCAGGGTTAAAACAAGGGGAGGTACAAGGATTTCCAGGAGCTCAGGGGTGGAAGGGACCAGGAAAAAGGGGACCTTCAGGCACTCTTTACAGTGAGGGGCCCCCCAAATAAGACCTCCTCACCTCTGGGGCACCCATTCCTGATGATTTTGCAGAATTGTTAGACCGTTAACCTGTTCCTTGAAGGTACGCACACCCTTTGGGCTTTTCACAGGGTCAGCTGTGAGATGTTCTAAGAGTTAGAAACTTTGGCATCATCCTTCCCAGCTTTGCTACCCTGGGCTCAAAACTCACCTTGTTCTGGGAATTTTCTCATCTGTAAAATGGGGTTAAAAATAATTCCTCCTTCACTATGAAGATTCAATGAGTTCACACATGTAAAGAGTTTGGGACAGCACCTGGCACAGAACAAGCTCTCATTGGCAGCTGGTTACCATTATTTCATCATCATCCTTGACTTCTTCCTCACCTTGCCACCTCCTCCCAATTCGTCATTAGGCCCTGTTGAGTTAACCTCTCCAATCAAGCTGATTTTCCAGTATCACGCCCTCTGCCACAGTCAAAAGGCAGTATAAATGCAAATTACCTGGATTCCAGGGCCAGGCTGCAGGGGTTCAAATCCAGACTTTGTGTGACCTTGAATAAGTGACATCCCCACCCCATTTCTTCTTCTGCAGAATGAGGATAATGGTATCCCCTCCTCTTAAAAAGCTACTGTGGGATTAAATGAATGAATGCATATAAATCCCTCAGAATAGTTTCTGGTATGTAAAAAGTGCTAACTAAATGCTGATAATTTATATTATAACTAATATGTAACAGCTGCCTCACTGGATTCTGGCTCTCACTCTGCCTCCCTCCAATCTATTTTCGCTGCAGCAACCAGAGTGCGCCTTTAAAAATGTCACTGGCACAGCTACTGTGGTTCATCAGTGGATTAACTATTGTCCCATGAAATGAGAGGTCCTGGTCAGGGCACATGCCCCGGTTATGGGCTCAATCGCCAGTAGGGGGCGTGCAGGAGGCAGCCAATTGATGTTTCTCAGGTCAATGTTTCTCTCTATCCCTTTCTCCCTCTCTAAAAAAAATTTTTTTTTCAATAAAAACATAAAAAATGTCAATGAAAAAGAAACTGAAGAGTAACACGACACAAATGTAACATGTGGATCTTGTTTAGATCCTGATTTAAACAAAGCAAGTGTAATAAAAAGACATTTATGGGTCATGATGTCTGGCATATAGCTTCAAAATCATCTGGGAGGAGTGGGTGGGGAGAAATGAAACAACTTTGGCCATGACTGAGTAATATTGATGCTGGACAATTCTGTTATTAATGCAGAGAAAAGATCTATTATTCTCTTGAATTCTCTGAATGTTTGAAATAAAGTATAACATGTGCTTGGAAAAGGAAAGAAAAGGATACACAGTTGACCCTTAAACAATGCAGGTTTGAATTGTGGGGTCCTCTTTCAATTGACCTGCTCAGTTCAAACTCACATGAGACCATGGGGGAAATTTAAATACTTGTGTATTATATGATAACATAGAAACAACTCTGAAATTTGAAAGGTGTGATAATGATTTTGTGGTTATATTTAAAAGAGAGAGTTCTTATTTTTTTAGAGACACAGACTAAAGTTTTTCCGGGTGCATTATCTTGAATTTGCTTCAGAATAATTCATTGGGCCCTGGCAGGTTTGGCTCAGTGGTTACAGCGTCGGCCCACAGACCAGAAAGACCCAGGTTTGGTTCCCACTAAGGGCTCGGTTGCAGTTTGTCCCCAGCCCAGTTGGGGTCGTGTGGTTGGCAACCACTCAATGTGTCTCTCTCACATCAATGTTTCTCTCTCTCTTCCTCCCTTTCCTCCCTCCCTCTCTCCCTCCTGCTCTATCTGAAGATAAATGCCAAAAAGTCCTCGAGTGAGGATTAAAAAATAAAATAAAATAAAATAATAATAATAATAATAATTCATTGGGCTCAAGGAGGGGTATTGAGAGGATGATGAAACAAATTTGGCCATGTTAAACCTGGGTGATGGGTATGTGGGAGTTAATTACACTATTTCCCTCCCTCTCCTTTTGGGTATGTTTGAAATTTTCCATAACCTAAAAATATGGTTAAAGAAAACCTAAACTAGTTTATGTCACTTTCTGTGTTTAAAACCCTCCCTTGGTTTCCCATTCAACTTAGGCCTCTTGTGAATTTTTTGACCTCAGGTTCTTCATTTTCCCCATCATTTTACCATCTTATTACAGAAGGTTTCTGGCTGTTAATTCTTTCAAGCATTCATTTGACACAGATTTATTGAACACCTAATATGTGCTAAGCCCTGTTCTGGATGCTTGGGACAGAGAAATGAACAAGATAGACAAGTTGTCCATCTTAACAGAGCATATATTCTAGAAGACAGGTATACAATGTTAATTGCATACACGGGGAACAAGACAACACTGTAAGGGGGGGAAGGGGACTCCATGAGATAGGGTGGGCAGGGGAGGCCATCTGCAGTGGTAATATTTGGGCTGAGATCTGGGGGGAGGGGGCGGTCAGCAAGCAAATTGAAGGAGGAAGGGCCTTCGGGACAGAGGACACAGCTAGTGCAAAGGCCCTGAGGTAGGACTGACCATAGTATATACAAGGACTGGAAGGTTAGTGAGTCTGGAGCATAGCATGACAGGATACAGCGCCCTGAATACAGCTCACCCCTTCCCACCTTGAGGTCTGTTCACTTGTGCCTGGACAACTCTGGCTCTGTCATGACCTATTTTAATGCACAGTCAATGTTCTTTCTCACATTGATGTTTCTATCTCTCGCTCCCTCCCCCTTCCTATTTCTCTCTAAAATCAGTAAAGAAAAAAAAAATTTGTTTAATATTGGTAACATTTATTGGGCACCATAGGTATTGTTCTAAATACTTTCCAATGATTACTGAATTTAATCCTAACAACCTTGGATTGTATAGATGAGAAACTGAGTGCCAGAAAAATGAAGTGCCTTGCCCAAGGTCACTCAGCTAGAAAGTGGCGGAGGCAAGATTTCCAAACCATTTACTCAAGCACTCTTGCTCCAGAGCCCAAATAACTCCTCGAAGTAACTCCCACAGTTCCCAGGGTTCACCAGACCGCGTGGTTGAAGAACCACCCATGCAGGGGATTTCTATGGGCACTTCACGGTCATTACTTTCCTGGGTGGAAAGGTGCCCCGTCACTGCTCGCGGAAGGATGCAGCATGCCAACCCAGGAGTGGCACCAAGAGCTTCAGGCTCTCTGGCAACACCGGCCTGGTAACCTTGCGACCAGTGGTGCCCTTCTTCCCCCTCCCCTGGGTCATGCCATTGGGGTGGGAGGGGCAGAGAATCTTGAATTACCCAATGGCGAAGGGTGCCGGGGCGCTATGCAAATAAGGTGTCTTTTATTGGGCGTCAGCTCTGCCCCGGAAACCGCCCCGCCCCGCCCCGCCCCGCCCCGCCCGTCCTTCTCCGGGAATTAGTCAGACTTATTGCAAATGCTTTGAAGGGTGGAAGGGGCATCCGGCTCTTGAAACTACCTCCGAAGACCGAACTCAGGATCCTAGCGGAATGTTCGAAAAGAAGAGGGGCACAGAAAAGGGAAGGTGCCTGTGCTGGGCGCTGTCTCATTGAGGTCTAAGCACAGCTTCTCCGTGTTAGCACGTACTTGACTCCAGTCAGCCACCGTAGACCCTGCAAACCTCTGTACACTTTCCTACTGTTCTTCCGTAGCTTTGTGCTTGCAGCCCTCCTTCCATTCTGTCTCCCCCACTGCAGCCTCGCCGGCTGCGACTGCGCTTGCGTACTGACGCCCCCACGAGCACGGCGTGGGAGAAGGGGATGGAAATGAGGCTGGACCCAGCCGCTTTTGAGCGCTCCCTGCCCTCCCCTACCGTTGCTGGGTGCACGGCGGGCGGTGGAATTTCGCCGCGTCCGAGGGCTGCGTGGCTGCGGCCACGGCCACCGCTGGAGGGACCCGGAGCCCCGCCCCCGGGGAGGTGCGGTCCGCAGGTGAGAGTGCTGAGGTCCTGGCCCAGACGCCTGGGTCTTGGGGAAATGGATTAGGGTTAGGACGCTAGGATCTCCCGGAGTGGGGTCGTTTGGGGTGCTGATGCATTGGTTCCGGGGGAACTGCATTAGTGACTGAGCCTTGGGAGGGTGTACTGGTCCGAATGAGGTTCACTAGGATTCCCTGGATCGCAACACACGCCACATTCTTTTTGTGTCTTCCTCCAGGTCTCCCCTCTATCCTCCATGGCCCCAGCTCCGCGCCGAGGATGAAATTTAGCAACAAGGAAGAAATTTAGCTGTGCAGGTGGCGTCAATGGACTGAGATTAAACCAAAAGGTAAAGCTATCTCTTCGCTGTGAAATTCCGCCCGAGCTCTTAGGCCCCTCCCCTGGGAAAGTTGCAAAAGACCCACCCACTGAGTTCTTAGGTCCCTCTCCTGGGTCTGAGCTACAGAGCGGCCGACTTGGGGTCTTATTTGTGGAACTCCGCCCATTCTCTTCGTATGTACCCTGCCTGGGAAGTCCTGGTAGGGGAGATTCCGCCTACTCTGGACACAGGCCCCACCCGCCCGGCAGGAACGCTGAGTCCAAGTTGTAGAGGCCCAACTACTCGGCTCCTAGGCTCCAACCCTGGGTCTAAGTTTCAAAGGGAATGCCTTTGCGACAGATTCTCGTAGCCCTCCCATTGTGCTCTTAGGCTCCTCCTTCCAGCAATTCCCACCCCAGCTTTAGGATCCCAGACAGAAGTAGAGCCAGCTCCTAAACTACTCATTTCATCCCTGATTTTAGACCCTCGAGTCCTATCTCAATTAGTCTGATAGTCACCAGAGATGCCCCTCCCCATCCCTAGACCCTCCTTTAGGTTTCTGGGTCAGCAAGATGCTGGAGCGAGATGCAGAGTCCGCGGCTGAGGCCACTAATTCTAGTCCTGCAGGCAAGGAACCAGTGACCAGAGGAGGTGAGAGCGGTCATTCCCGTGGGTGGGAGGCACTCTCCAGGAATTGGGGCTAAGAGAATCACATTTTAAGAATATCTCAGGGTGAAAGTTCGAGGGCCTGAGGGTGATGACAATTTGGGATCCAAAAAAAAATGTGACGTTCTGGGGAATCCTCCTGGTTGGCTTTCGGGGACCCTTAGTGACCATTTCTAGGGCTCAGGAAATGACAGGAGGGACAGGGAGGATGACATGCGGGATTTAAGTGTGATCACTTGGGAAGATACCAGAAGTCGACACCGAAGGAGCTTTTGGCAAAGCCTTAACTTTGGGGATCCAGGTAGGTAATGCTTTGGAATCCCTAGGATGATGGATGGCAGGGGTTGGAGAGCAGGAACATGCCATTTGAGGTGCCCAGATATGCTCTACAATGAAAGTTGGGGTGGGGGACCTGGCCTACATTTAGGGTGTTGGCTGCTGCCAGGAGCCCACCAGCCCTCCTGTCCCCTAGCTTCTCACCAGGGTTCATCCAAGAAGCCCCTCCAGTCAGCTCCAGGGCCTGCTGCATCCACAGGGGCACCGTCTCAACCCCGTCGGCGACCCCCACCCCAACGCCCACATCGATGCCCTGACTGTGACAAGGCCTTCTCGTACCCGTCCAAGCTGGCCACACACCGGTTGGCACATGGTGGTGCCCGCCCCCACCCATGCCCCGATTGCCCCAAGGCCTTCTCCTACCCTTCCAAGCTGGCAGCCCACCGCCTCACGCACAGCGGTGCCCGCCCACACCCATGCCCGCACTGCCCAAAGGCCTTTGGCCACCGTTCCAAGCTGGCAGCCCACCTCTGGACCCACGCGCCCGCCCGCCCCTACCCGTGTCCTGACTGCTCCAAGTCCTTCTGCTACCCCTCCAAACTGGCTGCCCACCGACACACGCACCATGCCACAGATGCTCGCCCCTATCCTTGCCCACACTGCCCCAAGGCTTTTTCATTTCCCTCAAAACTGGCCGCGCATCGCCTATGTCACGACCCCCCCCACCGCGCCCGGTAGCCAGGCCACGGCCCGGCATCACTGCTCCAGCTGTGGCCAGGCCTTTGGCCAGAGACGCCTCCTGCTCCTTCATCAGCGCAGCCGTCACCACCAGGCTGAAAGTCAGGGGGAGCGGGAATGAGCCCTCCCCTCAGCTCACTGGCCCCCTCTGCTGCCAGCTCCAGTAAATAAAGAGGTAGTATTTATAAACCAAGCTCAATGACTTGCCTCTTCTAGCTGGCAAGAAGATTGGCCCCTCATACTGGGCTCTAACTTAAAAGGTGGAGGAACTCTTTGCTCACCCATTTTGGGGAGGGAAGGTGTCACCCATGGAGTTAACTGGCCCCAAATCATGGACCTGGAGCTGTGGTGTGAAAGAATTGGCTCTGGTATTTCCCCACTGTTCATTTGGCAAAGGTAAAAAGTCTGCTAGCATCATGGGTTGGTGAAGAGTGTGGGGAAATAGACTCTCCTTATTGTAAGTTAAATTGGTGCCTCCATTTTTGCCATTTGACTGTATCTATAAAATACTTAAATGCACACTTGCTGTGTCAACTGTTCCACTGCCAGAAATTTATCCTATAAATAAACCCAAACTTGTGAACAAGGCCTAAGGGCAAGGATGTTCACTGCAGTGTGGTGGTTGTGCCCAAAGATCGAAAACTACCCAAATGTTCATCAATCAGAGACCAGCTAATTAATTACAATACAGCCATAGAATGGAAGATGTAACTGTAAGGGGGGGGGGGGGGAAGTCAGCTTTATATGTACTGATATGGAAAGATTCCCAAAATATTATAAATGATAAAAGCAAGAACAGGGGGTATACTACTGATAGTATAAAAAAAATTTTAAGCTCTAGCTTTAGAGCCAGCCCTGACCCACAACATAGGAGCCAAGGGGCCTTGAACAAGCTTTGTCACTTCTCTGGACTCAGAAGCCTTATCTATAAAATGGGAGTGTTATAAGGCCCTTGTAAGGGCACAAGCAAGCATCATCTCAGGCGAAGTCAGTTCCTTTCTTGAAACCAGTTTCTCCCACTGTAAAATCAGATGATCAAGCTAACATCGGACTGCTCTTCATTCTATACATTAAGCACCTACTGTGTGTCAGGACCTGCACAGGGTATTAGGGACACTGCAGTCTAGTGAGGGAAGTGGGCACTAATCAAATAGTGGCCAAAAAAAAAAAGTAAAGAAGCTAAGTCCGTTTTTGAAGAACATGTAGGGGAGCCTTGGTCCTTGGTCCTGACATGTGTCAACCCCCACCTATAGACCAGGGATTGGCAGACTTTTTCTGTAAAGGGCCAGACAGTATATATTTTTTAGGTTTTATAGGCCATACATCATCTGCCACAGCTAAAACTTTGTTTTAGCGCAAAAGCGGCCATACACATTATGATACGTTAATGAATCTGTGGGTGGGTTCAATGAAGCTTTACAAAAATAGCAGGTGAGCTGGATTTTGCCTATGCACTGCAGTTTGCTGACTCCTGTTGTAGATGAGTGGGGAGAGGACAGGCTAATCTGTGAGTGAGCTGAGATAGAAAAAAAAAATGAAATGGGACCCCATGGTGGGCAAAATAATGGTCCCCCAAAATTGTCCTCATCCTAATCCCCAGAACCTGTATGTTAGTTTACACAAGGCAGAATGGACTTTGCAGATGTGATTAAAGGTTTTGAGATGGGATGATTATCCTGATTATTCCAGTGGGTCAAGTGTAATCACAAGGGTTCTTATATGGGAAAAGGAAACAGACGAGTCAGGGAAGGAGATGTGACAATGGACACAGATTGGAGTAATGTGCGGCCACGAGTCAAGGAATTTGGCAGCCTCTAGTCTAGAGGCTAGAAAAATCAAGAAAATGACTTTCCCTTAGAGCCTCTAGAAGGAAGCCAGGCCTGCCACCACCGTAATTTTGGCCCAGAGACTGATTTTGGACTGCTGACCTCCAGAACTATAAGAAAATAAATGTGTATTGTTTAAAGTCCTTATGCTTATGGTAATTTGTTACAGCAGCAATAGAAAACTAATGCAGATCCCTACCTCACACCATACACAAAAATAAATGTCTAGAGAGTTAAGATCTAAATTTGAAGCACAAAAGTAAAACATTTAGATGGAAATAGAGGAAAATATCTTAGTAACCTCAGAGGTAGAGAAAGTATCTTTAAGACACAAAAGGAGCAAATTATAGAGGAAAAGACTGGTAAATTTGACCATAAACACATCAAGTTAGAAATATGATACAGCATGATAAGAGTGTATACCTAGCATATACTATTATATAAAGGTTAGGAAAGGCCTTCTTGAGCAGATAGTGTTTGAACTGAGACCTGAAAGCTGTGGAAGATGAACTGAGAGATGGTTTGTGGTATCTCCAGCATAAGAGGTAAAAGGAAATGTACAAGCTGCTTGACTGCAGGCTACTCAGCAAGATCTGGAGGGAGGGCTGGGAATGGGTAAGGATTTAGGTCCCTCCACCAAACCTGACAGCATGACTTGTATTCATGTATACATACAGATCTGTCCAAGAAGAGTTCTTCCAAAGCAACCACACCACCATCAAAGGTTCAAGGGAAAATGCATTTGATCTGGTCCCACCTTACCTTGTACAGATGGGGAAACCGATGCCACAAGATGAGACTGGCCAGCAACCAAACAATGAGGGGGTAGTGCTGAGTCAGGGTGGATCCTGGCTCTGTTGACACCCTGCCGCTCCTTGTACATGTCCTGCCTGAAGGTCTTTGCACTTGCTTTTCCCCTGCCTGGAACGGTTTCCTGAGACATTCCCTTCCAAGTTCCTACAGAAGGGGAAGTCCTCTGAGACACCATCTCCTATGACTCTCTAAATACCTCCACCTTGCCCTAGCACTCATCACTGTGTAACACTGCCCTGCTTTCTCTGCTCTCACAGCACTTATCACTGTCACACACTGCAACACGCTCTCTCCCCTAGCAGAATGTCAGCCCAGGAGGGTGAGGACTTGTGTCTCTTTTTTCACACTGTAGCCCCAGTGTCTCTTTTACAGTGGGTCTAGTACACAGAACAATGACCTCCCAAAGATGTCCACATCCTAATCCCTGGAACCTATGAATATGGAATGTGGCAAAGGAGATTTAAGGTAGAAGAAATTAAGGTTGCTAATTGGCTGACCTTAAAACAGAGATTATAAAAGATTATCCATGTGGGCTTCATGTAATCACAAGAGTCTTTAAATATGGAAGAAAAAGAAAGAAGAGTCAGTGTCAGAGTGATGATGCAGGAGAAAGACGCACCTGGCCTTTGCTGCCTTTGACTATGGCAGGGGAATGGAATATGAGCAGTTGCTAAAAGCTGGAAAAGCCAAGAAAGCAGTCTCCCCTAGAGCCTTCAGAAGGAACACAGGCCAGCCTACACCATTTTTTTTTAAATCCTTACCCAAGGACATTTTTGCATTTATCTTCAGATAGACCAGGAGGGAGATAGGGAGGAAGAGAAACATCGATGTTAGAGAGATATATTGAGTGGTTGCCACTTGCACAACCCCAACCAGGCCAGGGACAAACTGCAACCAAGGTACGTGCCCTTAGCAGGAACTGAACCCGGGAGTCTATGGTCCGTGGGCTGACACTCTAATCGCCAAGCCAAACCAGCCAGGGCTATACCATGATTTTTTTTTTCTTTATTGAGTTTTAGAGAGAAAGGGAGAAATAGAAACATTGATGAGAGAGAACATCGATTGGCTGCCTCCTGCATGCCCCCCACTGGGGATTGGGCCCACAACCTGGGCACATGCCCTGGACCAGGAACCAAACTGGTGACCTCCTAGTGCATAGATCGATGCTCAGCCACTGAGCCACACTGGCCGGGCTACACCGTGATTTTTTAACTGAGTGAGATGCCTATCAGACTTCAGACCATTTCTGCTGTTTTAAGACATTTTTTGTAGTAATTTCTTAAAGCAACAGTAAGAACTGATAGAGTGAGTGATCAGTTCATGTGTGAATGAATGAAAATGAATGAGTGGATGTAGAATCTAATACTACCTTCATCTTACAGATGAAAAAGCAAAGGTCAAGAAAGGAAAAGGATTGAGACTGATGGCCCTTGGTTAGTTGATGGGGCAAAAGCTGGGAAAGGGCTTGGAATGTCCAAGAATCTTAAAAGATTACCCTAAGGGAAGATCTCAAACCAGATAACCCAACCCTTTGAGCTGCCCAAACCCCTTCCTGACTCCTCACCCCCAGGGAAAGTCCAAGTTTCTCTGCCTGGCGCTGACAGCCCTGTCCTTTGTGCTTCCTGTAGTGGTGGAAATGTTCTCTGTGATATCCAGTGCAGTGGCCACTGAGCACTGAAATAGGGCCAGCGTGACAGAGGAAGTGAATTTCCTTTCATTTCAATGTAATTTAAATAGCCACCCGTGGCCCGGCCAGTATGGCTCAGTGGTTGAAGCGTCAATGCATGCACCAAGAGGTTGCTGGTTCAATTCCAGGTCAGGGCACATGCCCAGGTTGTGGGCCAAATCCCCAGTGAGGGGCATGCAGGAGCCAGCCAATCAATGTTCTCGCTCATTGATGTTTCTCTCTCTCTCCCTCTCTAAAATCAGAAAAGAAGAAAAAAAAATTTTTAATAAGTAAATATCCACCTGCATCCATTGGCTACTGACTGTGCCCTTTCCAGCCAGATCTGCCCCTGAAGCCTCTTCACCAAGGGTGGCAATGCTCTTTCAACTCCACCCAGACACCAGGCTAGTTCCCACTTCCGAGCCTTTGCCCATGCCATGGCCCCCGCCTAGGCCACCACCCCATCATCTAACACCCAGCTCAGCTCCCACCTTAAATGTGGTAGAGCCTTGAAGTGGTTCAGGATTTGGGTGGGTTGATTAAAATGCCCTTTCCGCCATTCTACCTCCCAAATGAAGTGATGTAAAACCATGCTGTGACAGTTCAAGAGCTACTTCTGAAAGCTCTGTAGAAAAGAAGACATCCCTGGCAGGGGAGCTGAGACTTTAAGAGAAAGGCACACCTCATGAGCATCCAGACTTCCAGCCCTGGACCCACAGAGAGACAACCAAGATGCAAGAACAGGCTCAGAGAGTCAGAATCAGCTGAGTGTTCGATTCCTGATTCCCTGGCATCTGCCGCAAGGCTGAGGGGCTAGAGAGAAGTGAAAAAGAGTTCCTTCCCTACCAGAGCCCTCATAAAGAGCCCCTCATTCTCTCCAGGACCCCAGGACAGGAGTCTCAGGCAGCCCAGAGACCTGGCCCTCAGAGGGGAAGCAAAAACCAAAATAAGACAAACAGCTAGGAGCCTCTTGGTTCTGGAAGACTCCCGAGTGAGACAGGCAGTGGCTGCAAACCAAGTCAGTTTATTAAACGTGTGTGTACGTGCGCGCATGCGTGAAGCACATAGTTCAGGCGTGGGGCACCACCCCATAGAGCTGGTGCGGAAGTAACTTCTGCTTCTCGTTACAACTATAGATCCACCGAGGGCGGACGAACACTAGGGAGGGGTTGTCCATCAAGGCCTGCAAGGTGGGCAGAGGACACATGTGAGAAAGGAGGCGATAGAGGGGATTCAGGGGCAGGCTGGGTTTCCCTTTCCCTGCCCCTCTGGACTCACCTCCTCAAAGCTGGGGTCCCACTCCTGTGCCGTGATCACAAACTGGACTCGGTCGCTCATATAGTCCTCAAGCTCCCTGGCGA